AGACCTGGGGGGACACGGAAGAGACACGGGGGAGACCTGGGGAGACACGGAAGAGACACGGGGGAGACCTGGGGGGACACGGAAGAGACACGGGGGAGACCTGGGGAGACACGGAGGAGACCTGGGGGGACACGGAGGAGACCTGGGGGGACACGGAAGAGACACGGGGGAGACCTGGGGAGACACGGAAGAGACACGGGGGAGACCTGGGGGGACACGGAAGAGACACGGGGGAGACCTGGGGGGACACGGAGGAGACCTGGGGGGACACGGAGGAGACCTGGGGGGACACGGAAGAGACACGGGGGAGACCTGGGGAGACACGGAAGAGACACGGGGGAGACCTGGGGAGACACGGAAGAGACACGGGGGAGACCTGGGAGGACACGGAAGAGACACGGGGGAGACCTGGGGAGACACGGAAGAGACACGGGGGAGACCTGGGGGGACACGGAAGAGACACGGGGGAGACCTGGGGAGACACGGAAGAGACACGGGGGAGACCTGGGGGGACACGGAGGAGACCTGGGGGGGGGGGGACACGGGGGAGACACGGGGTTTCGAGGAGGAGGAGGAGGAGTCGGGGACTCACTGACGGCGAGGGCCGTCACGAGCTGCACGGCGAGCAGCGGCGGGGGGCACGGGGAGAAGACGGGGGCCAGGGCGTAGCGGCCACACGCCAGAGCCACCACGGCAGTGATGGCCGGCCTGCTCCACGCCACACACACACGAGGGGGGTGGAGACACACGGGGGGGGGGGGAGACACACGGGGAGGGCACACGGGGGGGGTAGAGACACACGGGGGGGTGGAGAGACACACGGGGGGGGGGTAGAGACACACGGGGGGGGCACACGGGGGGGGGTGGAGAGACACACGGGGGGGGGGTAGAGACACACGGGGGGGGCACACGGGGGGGGGTGGAGAGACACACGGGGGGGGGGGGGTAGAGACACACGGGGGGGGCACACGGGGGGGGGGGTGGAGGGGGAACAGGCGTCTATGACGTCTCCTGGCCAAACCCCATTTGGCGGAGCCAGGAGATTGAATCTTTAACCTCGGGGCTCCTCCAGAAACAACAAAAAGCCACGACGGATGGCCACGTGGAATGTTCGAATGCTCACTGCGAAGGAGAGGCTGCCAATCGATGATGGGGCAGTAGTGGAAAGAGTAGAGAGTTTCCCATACCTGGGCAGTGTGCTTATGACCGGCTCCAGTTTATCAGCAGAGGTCTCACTCCGAATCAGTCTAGGGCATTATCTTTTCATCGGATGCGTAACGCTGTGTGGAAGCTACCTCGTCTGTCGCTCCACACGAAGCTTCAGGTCTTCTCGGCCACAGTCATTCCCTCCCTTCTCTACGCTTGCGAAACGTGGACCCCCCTAATGGAGCATATTCGCCGATTGGAAACATTTCTTCTGGCCTGCCTACGATCCATCATCGGTTTAACCAGGCTGGATTGTGTGAGGAGCTCACAAATCCTTGAAAGATTTGGGCAAGTCCCATCTGTGAGCTCCTACGGCAGGCAAGGCTGCGTTGGCTGGGTCATGTAGCCCGCATGCCCAGTCACCGCATGCCTAAACAGCTTTTGTTTGGCCGGATAGAGGGGGCTAAATGGGCGCGGTACGGACTAGAGAGGAGATGGAGTGACGTGGTACAGGAGGATGTGGAGCTGAGTGGACTTGCCGATGACTGGTACCAGCGGTGTCAAGATCGGCCTCAATGGAGGAGGCTCGTGAAGGACGCTACTGGGCAGTTGGAGGCAGTCGCCCTCAACAACGGAGGGCGGAGAGCGACGCTCACAACAATGAGCGGAGCGCCGGGTGGCTAAAGCACAGCAAGTTGGCACAGTAGGGGGCACAGGTGGTGCATCAGCCAGTCATCTCGGTCATCTCAGTCAGTCGACCCGTGGCACCTGGGTCTGCCCCGTGACCTCCTGCCGGCGGGCGTTCGACACTTCACGTGGCCTCAACGTGCACATGGCCTGGCACAAGCGTCGTGGTGACGTCACCGCCACTTAGTTGCGAATGGCGGTTGCTGTTGTTGCTGTTGGGTTAAGGGGGGGGGGATATTGTGAGCTCACCGCACGATAATGAACTCGGTCCAGAGGCGCAGGAAGGCGGGCGCGGGCCCCAGCGTCTCCAGCAGGTAGATGTAGTGGCCGCCAGACTTGCGGTACGTGGTGCCCAGCTCGGCGTACGACAGGGCCCCTGCGGACCCCCCCCCCCCCCCCACCACAGAGACCCCCAATCACCCACGAGTTAATATAAATAACTGTTTATATATTAGTGACTTTCTCGACTTTCTACTCTATTTAGCACTCCCATCCTGTGCGTGTGTGTCTCAAACTAAGCCAGCGGTTCTTCTTATTCGTAACTTGGGGGGGGGTGCACACCACACCCTCCTGGGGGTGCCCACCACACCGCCGTGGGGGTGCCTGCCACACCCCCAGGGGGTGCCTGCCACACCCCCAGGGGGTGCCTGCCACACCCCCTGGGGGTCTGCCACACCGCCGTGGGGGTGCCTGCCACACCCCCTGGGGGTGTCTGCCACACCGCCGTGGGGGGTGCGAGATGCCCTCTCTAGGGGTGCGGCGAGACAGGGACAGAGTTTTTGTTTCGAAAATTGTATCATCGAAAACACAAATTGAAGCCACGGGGCACACATCAAGTTACACAATTTGTCGTTTCACCCAACCCCATGCCTGTATTGACATCGTCGCTTTGCTTGACGACCAAGAAGCAAATGGGGTGCAAGGCTGCAGTCAAGGCGAAGAACCACTGGACTCAATTACTCTGAGCTCTTTGTGATCGTAGCAGACGTAAGGCACCAAACACTGAGCCGTGTGGCTCTTATTCAGAAGCGTCCTGCCCACAAACATCGCCATCATCGTAGTCATCGGCGCGTGGAAATCTCCAGCAGCAGCAGCAGCAGACAAATACTCTAAAAGGCGATGATAAATGTGGAGCGGAGACAGAGAGAGACACGCAAACTCCAAATATACAGCAGCAGCAGGCATCGTCAGGGTCGGAATCGAACCCAAGACCTCACTGTACACCCGGCGAGGTAGTCAACATCTCCTAGCCACCGTGATCAAGAGAGAGAGAGACACGCAAACTCCAAATATACAACAGCAGCCGGCGTCAGGGTCGGGATCGAACCCAGGACCCCCTGTACACCAGGCGAGGGAGTCAACATCTCCTAGTCACCGTGATGATGATGAGAGAGAGACACGCAAACTCCAAATACACAGCAGCAGGCGTCAGGGTCAGGATCGAACCCACGACCTCCTGTGCACCAGGCGAGGTAGTTAACATCTCCAGGCCACCGTGACGACGACGACGAGGAGCGAGAAGAAAGACAAAATGGCGGCCACCACGTGTTGGTCCCCGTCCTCACCGAGCAGGGAGAGAAGTCCGCAGGCGAGCCACACCACGAGGGCCCAGCCCGGCGAGCCGGCGTGGCGCAGCACCCCCGAGGGCGAGATGAAGATGCCGCTGCCCACGATGGTGCCTACGAGCACCGCCACCCCGCGCCACAGGCCGATCTTGCGCCGCAAGGCCACGGGGCCCGCGCTCGCCGCCGAGGGGACGGCCACGGGCCGACGGCGGGAGGCGTCTGTGACGTCACAGACGCCGACGTCACCGCCGAAGTCACCAATGGGCGATGACATCGCTCGTTGTCGTCGTTGTCGTCGTTGTTGTTGTCGTTGTTGTTGATGTCGTTGTTGTTGTCGTAGTTGTTGTTGTCGTTGTTGTTGTTTTTGTTGCAGAGGTTGGCGGTTGGGTTTCCAGCGGCCCCGCCCCGGGGTTGACACTGCGGGTTGAACGACGGCAGCGGTGGTGGTGACGTCGACTTGTCCCTGTGCACGCCACCGCCACCACACAGCGGTCACTCATCGCTCGCGTGCAGAGAGAGAGGACGACTCGGAGAGAGAGAGGACGACTCGGAGAGAGAGAGGACGACTCAGAGAGAGACAACTCAGAGAGAGAGAGAGGACGACTCAGAGAGAGAGACAACTCAGAGAGGACGACTCAGAGAGAGAGAGAGGATGACTCGGAGAGAGAGAGGACGACTCGGAGAGAGAGGGCGACTCAGAGAGAGAGGACGACTCAGAGAGAGAGAGGACGACTCGGAGAGAGAGAGGACGACTCAGAGAGAGAGAGGACGACTCGGAGAGAGACAACACACTCACAGACTCACACAGACTCACACTCACAGACTCACACTCACAGACTCACACTCACAGACTCACTCAGACTCACACACTCACACTCACAGACTCTCACACTCACAGACTCTCACACTCACAGACTCTCACACTCACAGATTCACGCTCACAGACTCACGCTCACACACTCACAGACTCACACTCACAGACTCTCACACTCACAGACTCACACTCACACTCACAGACTCACACTCACAGACTCTCACACTCACAGACTCTCACACTCACAGACTCACACTCACACACTCACACTCACAGATTCACACTCACAGATTCTCACACTCACAGACTCTCACACTCACAGACTCACACTCACAGACTCACACTCACAGACTCACACTCACAGACTCACACTCACAGACTCTCACACTCACAGACTCATGCTCACAGACTCACGCTCACACACTCACACACTCACACACTCACACTCACAGACTCACACACTCACACTCACAGACTCACACTCACAGACTCTCACACTCACAGACTCACACTCACACTCACAGATTCTCACACTCACAGACTCTCACACTCACAGACTCACACTCACAGACTCACACTCACAGACTCACACTCACAGACTCACACTCACAGACTCACACTCACAGACTCATGCTCACAGACTCACGCTCACACACTCACACACTCACACACTCACACTCACAACCTCACACACTCACACTCACAGACTCACACTCACAGACTCTCACACTCACAGACTCTCACACTCACAGACTCACACTCACAGACTCTCACACTCACAGACTCTCACACTCACAGACGCTCACACTCACAGACTCACACACCGACTCGGGTAGGAGGACTCACACGATGGTGGTTGTGGTGGTTGTGTTGGTTGTGTTGGTAGTTGTGGTGGTTGTGGTGGTGGTTGTGGTGGTGGATGTGGTGGTTGTGTTGGTGGTTGTGGTGGTGGTGGTTGTGGTGGTGGATGTGGTGGTTGTGCTGGTGGATGTGGTGGTGGTGGATGTGGTTGTGGTGGTAGTTGTGGTGGTGGTGGTTGTGGATGTGGTGGTTATGGTGTTGGTGGTTGTGTTGGTAGTTAAGGTGGTGGTGGTGGATGTGGTGGTGGATGTGGTGGTGGTTGTGGTGGTGGATGTGGTGGTTGTGGTGGTTGAGAACTCACGGCGACTCCCAGCCGTCTTTGTGCGCCTGGCTACAGAGGGAGCCGCTGCGTCTCAGGAATGTGCTGGAGGAGGATTTGGAGGGAGATTTATACATCTCGTGCATACATCTTGTTTAGCCATCTTGTTGTTCTTGTGAACTTGGGGGGTGGTGGGTGGCGGGGGCTCGTGGGGACGTGGGAGTGGGGGCGGGAGGACTCAACACTGCCCAAAGACCCAACACTACCCATAGACTCAACACTGCCCATAGACTCAACACTGCCCATAGACTCAACACTGCCCAAAGACCCAACACTGCCCATAGACTCAACACTGCCCATAGACTCAACACTGCCCATAGACTCAACACTGCCCATAGACTCAACACTGCCCAAAGACCCAACACTGCCCATAGACTCAACACTGCCCATAGACTCAACACTGCCCATAGATTCAACACTGCCCATATACTCAACACTGCCCATAGACTCAACACTGCCCAAAGACCCAACACTGCCCATAGACTCAACACTGCCCATAGACTCAACACTGCCCATAGACTCAACACTGCCCATAGACTCAACACTGCCCATAGACCCAACACTGCCCATAGACTCAACACTGCCCATAGACTCAACACTGCCCATAGACTCAACACTACCCATAGACTCAACACTGCCCATAGACTCAACACTGCCCATAGACTCAACACTACCCATAGACTCAACACTGCACCATAGACTCAACACTACCCATAGACTCTACACTACACCATAGACTAACACTGCCCATAGACTCAACACTGCCCATAGACTCAACACTGCCCATAGACTCAACACTACCCATAGACTCTACACTGCCCATAGACTCAACACTGCCCATAGACTCTACACTGCCCATAGACTCAACACTGCCCATATACTCAACACTGCCCATAGACTCAACACTACCCATAGACTCAACGCTACCCATAGACTCAACACTGCCCATAGACTCAACACTACCCCCATAGACTCAACACTGCCCATAGACTCAACACTGCCCATAGACTCAACACTGCCCATAGACTCAACACTGCCCATAGACTCAACACTGCCCATATACTCAACACTACCCATAGACTCAACACTGCCCATAGACTCAACACTACCCATAGACTCAACACTGCCCATAGACTCAACACTGCCCATAGACTCAACACTGCCCATAGACTCAACACTGCCCATATACTCAACACTGCCCATATACTCAACACTGCCCATAGACTCAACACTGCCCATAGACTCAACACTGCCCATAGACTCAACACTGCCCATAGACTCAACACTGCCCACAGATTCAACACTTCACCTCCGATCACGTACGTACGGTGCGAAATAAGTTCAACAAACGTACGCACTTAAGTCAACCACTACCACCACACTGCAGGGCACAATTCACACTCACCCACTAACTCACCCACTAACTCACCCACTAACTCACCCATTAACTCGCCCAATCAATCATTCACACAAAGATTGCTGGTATCGCCTTAACAGACTGTTGGGGTCAGTGCTGTTCATGAGCACCGATGAAGACCGGACAGGGCACACGAGGGGGTTGGTGGCCTAACGCCGCGCCCGGCCGCCTTTGTCTCCCCAGTGCTGATGTTTTACACACCGCACCAGGTACTCAGTCGAAGGATGAGTCGACCTCGGGGAGGTAACGGGGCCGGTTCCAATATTCGCCACTGTGAGAGGTCGTGAGCTGGAGTCGAACTCAGGCCGCCGGGTTCGTAGAGTATGGCGCTAACCGCTGCAGTGATTCACATCCACCCTCGCATCAAGACTGCCCGTCACAATTCACTCAGCCACCCACTCATCCACTAAACCACTCGCCCATCCAACCACTCACTCACACACTCATCCACTAAACCACTCGCCCATCCAACCACTCACTCACAAACTCATCCACTAAACCACTCACCCACCCAACCACTCACTCGCCCACTCATCCACCAAACCACTCACCCACCCAACCACTCACTCACCCACTCATCCACCAAACCACTCACCCACCTAACCACTCACTCACCCACTAAACCACTCACTCACCCACTTACACCGCAGGCCACAATGGACTCGCTCACCCATTCATTCACCCAACCAATCACCCACCCACTCACTCATCCACACAACCACTCACCCACTCACACTGAAGCCCGCAATTCACTCACCCACCCATTCACTCACCAAACGAACACTGCAGGCCATACTTTACTCACCCACTCATCCAATACCCACTCACACTGAAGCACCACAATTCACTCACCCACTCATCCACCCAAACACTCACCCACACTGCAGGCGACAATTCACTCACCCACTCATCCACCCAACCACTCACTCACCCACTCACACTGAAGCCCACAATTCACTCACCCACTCATCCACCCACTCACACTGAAGCCCACAATTCACTCACCCACTCATCCACCCAAACACTCACTCACCCACTCACACTGCAGCCCACAATTCACTCGTCCACTCATCCACCCAACCACTCACCCACCCACACTGCAGGCCACAATTCACTCACCCACTCAACTACCCAACCACTCACTTACCCACTCATCCACTAAACCACTCACCCACCCAACCACTCACTCACCCACTCATCCATCCAACTACTCACCCACCCAACCAACCCTCTCACCCCACCCACCCAGCAACCCTGAAAGTCCCAACACACCGTGAACATCCCTCGCCACCGCTCGACCGCAATCCCTCCTCGTTCAGTCGCTCAAGAAATTCCCGGCTCACACGGCGGGGAAGGGGGGGGGGGGAGCCGAAACGTCAGCACAATTGCGCCGAACAACAACAACGCCACCACGTAGAGCGAGCGAGCGAGAGAGCGTGGGAGAGAGGCGAGCGAGCGAGTGAGCGAGGCTGCCACCGCTGCGGCTGCACGTGGCTTCAGAGGGAGGCTGCTGCTCCCCCGGCTGGAGCTCGTCTTGTTTGTTGGCGTTCAGCACAAGGCTTGTGCCCTCACCGCCTCCCACCGTAATCCCTCACGATCACAGAGGGGTCGTTTGTTCCCCATTGCGACATGAAAAGTTTATTTTTTGGAATCCGAACCATGAGGAGGGTGAGGCGCGGGGCGGCCGGGCCACCGCCCGTGGTGGATTCGTCGTCAGCCGAGGGTCAACCCGCTGCTGCATGGCGAAGGCCCTCTCACCAAAGCCGCAAATGCTACCGCTCAGCAAACGGATGTAAGTTCACTCCCATGGGAGCAGTGCCGGATTATTGTAGCAGCAAAAGTAGCTACGTGTGTAGTAGTAGATACATATGTAGTAGTAGCTACGACTACATATGTAGCAGTAGCTATGTAGTAGTAGCTACAACTACATGTGTAGTAGCTATGTAGTAGTAGCTACAACGTATGTAGTCGTAGCTACTACATATGTAGTAGTAGCTACTACATATGTAGCTACTACTACTTATGTAGCTGCTACTACATATGTAAGGGGCCTGCGCTAAACGCTTTCAAGTTATCAATCCCGGTTGAGTGATTCTGCACTTGCTCTATTACTATAGTACTATATCGCCTTCGACTTTCATGAACGACCGCGTGTTTAAGGTTATCGATTTGTCGTCTTGTCTGTTTCGCAAACGAAAACATACAATCACTTTACTATGCAAGTAAAAATGTGGTGTTGTAATATTTGTGTTTAATATTTCGGGCTCCTTTATAACAACAGATGCCACAGGCCCCGCACTTTGCTTCATCCGGCACTGACAACAACTCAGCGCGTCTTCTGTCGTGCGGCTGCCGATGTTGGATGCAGAGCAGACGACGACAATTTCACATTCAGATGGCCACGCCGAGATGACCGCATCCAAGTGCATTAGCGCTGCCAAGTCTCTCCTGCTTTGTATTTGCGGAGCGCGGCATTGCGCCGTTCTACGCTGCAGTCTCTCCGCTCTGCACGGCCACAGTTCCCACACCTCCACTGGAGTCGTAAACTTTCCCATTCATGCATTACACTGGTCAACAACAAAAATCATTTTTTTCTGGCCTGGACTTTTGCAGCTGTTTTAAACTAATTTCAGGGTGCTGATTCCAAATCTGATCTCAGATTTGCTCTATCACATCTCATTTTATGCTATCGGCATACCCCATTTTCATTGATTTTACCCGAAATTAACTCTGTCACTTATGATTGCAAGTTGTTGCGAGTCAGTGACTGCTTTAGTGTTAAAATATGGTGCTGTATTTTTAGGATAGTATGTTTATAATATCATTTTATGTAGATATCCACATTTATTTAATATTTTTCTTCCGCAGTTTTTATTGAAAATGCAATATTTGATATCTCAAAAACCTGATGTCATAGACAAAAAACTGATGCCAGATTTGGAATCAGCACCCCAAAATTACCTTAAAACCGTTGGAATACCTTACGCCAGAAGAAGTGTGTTGACCAGTGTTATCAGCGATCCGCAGCGGCTGATGTTGCAAATGCTTCGTGCCAAGGCCGTAATTATTATATACAGTACATTCAAATATGCTCACAATGTCCCCCCCCCCCCCCAATATATTGCTATAAAATGTATTTCTGTTCATATGATTGCGGTTATGGTTGATTGTAGTTATGGTTGTACTTTATTAATCCCTAATCTCTGCCATTACATACAATTAAACAAAAGGTAGAAATGAAAAAACTGAGTAATGTAATACAATACACTATTAGACATTGTAAAAGATAAAAAGTCCATCCTATATGTTAGTGAATTTTTTAATATTTTAGGCAGGAAATTCGTGTTCAAATTTAGTTTTTTTTCTGGGGGGGACCCCCAAGAAGATTTGGTCCCCCCCAATGCCGACTCCACGGCTACGGCCTTGCCTTGTGCAGTTGGTGATGTGGTTTAGGGTGGAGCCATGAGCAGCATCAGGGAAGATCAAATCCCAGGGGATTCATCTTCTTGGTTCTTTTGGTAAAGTCACGAAGAAGGGAAGTAATAAAATAATACAAATAAAACATAATAAAAGAATTAGCGTCTGAATGACGCGGTCTCCCCGACAGACCTGGTCTTCACCTGAGGACGGCTGCTTGCGTTGTGGCCGAAACGTCGTGAGAATTATTTTGTTTTATTTTTATTATTTTATTATTTCCCTTCTACGTGACTTTACCGAAAGAACAAAGATGAATCCCTGCAGTCACGAAAGCTTTAAATCGAAATCCCAGGGATCTTCTGCCTCGAGTCTTTCACTCGGTCTATGGC